TGACTTCAGTTGACTTTTGAGTCGACTCTAAAGTTCAGCTTGTTTAAGCTGGTGCAAGTGCTGTCTTCAGTTGACTTTTGAGTCGACTCTAAAGTTCAGCTTGTTTAAGCTGGTGCAAGCGCTGTCTTCAGTTGACTTTTGAGTCGACTCTAAAGTTCAGCTTGTTTAAGCTGGTGCAAGCGCTGTCTTCAGTTGACTTTTGAGTCGACTCTAAAGTTCAGCTTGTTTAAGCTGGTGCAAGCGCTGTCTTCAGTTGACTTTTGAGTCGACTCTAAAGTTCAGCTTGTTTAAGCTGGTGCAAGCGCTGTCTTCAGTTGACTTTTGAGTCGACTCTAAAGTTCAGCTTGTTTAAGCTGGTGCAAGCGCTGACTTCAGTTGACTTTTGAGTCGACTCTAAAGTTCAGCTTGTTTAAGCTGGTGCAAGCGCTGTCTTCAGTTGACTTTTGAGTCGACTCTAAAGTTCAGCTTGTTTAAGCTGGTGCAAGCGCTGACTTCAGTTGACTTTTGAGTCGACTCTAAAGTTCAGCTTGTTTAAGCTGGTGCAAGCGCTGTCTTCAGTTGACTTTTGAGTCGACTCTAAAGTTCAGCTTGTTTAAGCTGGTGCAAGCGCTGACTTCAGTTGACTTTTGAGTCGACTCTAAAGTTCAGCTTGTTTAAGCTGGTGCAAGCGCTGTCTTCAGTTGACTTTTGAGTCGACTCTAAAGTTCAGCTTGTTTAAGCTGGTGCAAGCGCTGTCTTCAGTTGACTTTTGAGTCGACTCTAAAGTTCAGCTTGTTTAAGCCGCGCTGTCTTCAGTTGACTTTTGAGTCGACTCTAAAGTTCAGCTTGTTTAAGCTGGTGCAAGCGCTGTCTTCAGTTGACTTTTGAGTCGACTCTAAAGTTCAGCTTGTTTAAGCTGGTGCAAGCGCTGTCTTCAGTTGACTTTTGAGTCGACTCTAAAGTTCAGCTTGTTTAAGCTGGTGCAAGCGCTGTCTTGAGTTGACTTTTGAGTCGACTCTAAAGTTCAGCTTGTTTAAGCTGGTGCAAGCGCTGTCTTCAGTTGACTTTTGAGTCGACTCTAAAGTTCAGCTTGTTTAAGCTGGTGCAAGCGCTGTCTTCAGTTGACTTTTGAGTCGACTCTAAAGTTCAGCTTGTTTAAGCTGGTGCAAGCGTTGTCTTGAGTTGACTTTTGAGTCGACTCTAAAGTTCAGCTTGTTTAAGCTGGTGCAAGCGCTGTCTTCAGTTGACTTTTGAGTCGACTCTAAAGTTCAGCTTGTTTAAGCTGGTGCAAGCGCTGTCTTCAGTTGACTTTTGAGTCGACTCTAAAGTTCAGCTTGTTTAAGCTGGTGCAAGCGCTGACTTCAGTTGACTTTTGAGTCGACTCTAAAGTTCAGCTTGTTTAAGCTGGTGCAAGCGCTGTCTTCAGTTGACTTTTGAGTCGACTCTAAAGTTCAGCTTGTTTAAGCTGGTGCAAGCGCTGTCTTGAGTTGACTTTTGAGTCGACTCTAAAGTTCAGCTTGTTTAAGCTGGTGCAAGCGCTGACTTCAGTTGACTTTTGAGTCGACTCTAAAGTTCAGCTTGTTTAAGCTGGTGCAAGCGCTGTCTTCAGTTGACTTTTGAGTCGACTCTAAAGTTCAGCTTGTTTAAGCTGGTGCAAGCGCTGTCTTCGGTTGACTTTTGAGTCGACTCTAAAGTTCAGCTTGTTTAAGCTGGTGCAAGCGCTGTCTTCAGTTGACTTTTGAGTCGACTCTAAAGTTCAGCTTGTTTAAGCTGGTGCAAGCGCTGACTTCAGTTGACTTTTGAGTCGACTCTAAAGTTCAGCTTGTTTAAGCTGGTGCAAGCGCTGTCTTCAGTTGACTTTTGAGTCGACTCTAAAGTTCAGCTTGTTTAAGCTGGTGCAAGCGCTGACTTCAGTTGACTTTTGAGTCGACTCTAAAGTTCAGCTTGTTTAAGCTGGTGCAAGCGCTGTCTTCAGTTGACTTTTGAGTCGACTCTAAAGTTCAGCTTGTTTAAGCTGGTGCAAGCGCTGTCTTCAGTTGACTTTTGAGTCGACTCTAAAGTTCAGCTTGTTTAAGCTGGTGCAAGCGCTGTCTTCAGTTGACTTTTGAGTCGACTCTAAAGTTCAGCTTGTTTAAGCTAGTGCAAGCGCTGTCTTCAGTTGACTTTTGAGTCGAATCTAAAGTTCAGCTTGTTTAAGCTGGTGCAAGCGCTGTCTTCAGTTGACTTTTGAGTCGACTCTAAAGTTCAGCTTGTTTAAGCTGGTGCAAGCGCTGACTTCAGTTGACTTTTGAGTCGACTCTAAAGTTCAGCTTGTTTAAGCTGGTGCAAGCGCTGACTTCAGTTGACTTTTGAGTCGACTCTAAAGTTCAGCTTGTTTAAGCTGGTGCAAGCGCTGACTTCAGTTGACTTTTGAGTCGACTCTAAAGTTCAGCTTGTTTAAGCTGGTGCAAGCGCTGTCTTCAGTTGACTTTTGAGTCGACTCTAAAGTTCAGCTTGTTTAAGCTGGTGCAAGCGCTGTCTTCAGTTGACTTTTGAGTCGACTCTAAAGTTCAGCTTGTTTAAGCTGGTGCAAGCGCTGTCTTCAGTTGACTTTTGAGTCGACTCTAAAGTTCAGCTTGTTTAAGCTGGTGCAAGCGCTGTCTTCAGTTGACTTTTGAGTCGACTCTAAAGTTCAGCTTGTTTAAGCTGGTGCAAGCGCTGTCTTCAGTTGACTTTTGAGTCGACTCTAAAGTTCAGCTTGTTTAAGCTGGTGCAAGCGCTGTCTTCAGTTGACTTTTGAGTCGAATCTAAAGTTCAGCTTGTTTAAGCTGGTGCAAGCGCTGTCTTCAGTTGACTTTTGAGTCGACTCTAAAGTTCAGCTTGTTTAAGCTGGTGCAAGCGCTGACTTCAGTTGACTTTTGAGTCGACTCTAAAGTTCAGCTTGTTTAAGCTGGTGCAAGCGCTGACTTCAGTTGACTTTTGAGTCGACTCTAAAGTTCAGCTTGTTTAAGCTGGTGCAAGCGCTGTCTTCAGTTGACTTTTGAGTCGACTCTAAAGTTCAGCTTGTTTAAGCTGGTGCAAGCCCTGTCTTGAGTTGACTTTTGAGTCGACTCTAAAGTTCAGCTTGTTTAAGCTGGTGCAAGCGCTGACTTCAGTTGACTTTTGAGTCGACTCTAAAGTTCAGCTTGTTTAAGCTGGTGCAAGCGCTGTCTTCAGTTGACTTTTGAGTCGACTCTAATATTCAGCTTGTTTAAGCTGGTGCAAGCGCTGTCTTCAGTTGACTTTTGAGTCGACTCTAAAGTTCAGCTTGTTTAAGCTGGTGCAAGCGCTGTCTTCAGTTGACTTTTGAGTCGACTCTAAAGTTCAGCTTGTTTAAGCTGGTGCAAGCGCTGACTTCAGTTGACTTTTGAGTCGACTCTAAAGTTCAGCTTGTTTAAGCTGGTGCAAGCGCTGTCTTGAGTTGACTTTTGAGTCGACTCTAAAGTTCAGCTTGTTTAAGCTGGTGCAAGCGCTGACTTCAGTTGACTTTTGAGTCGACTCTAAAGTTCAGCTTGTTTAAGCTGGTGCAAGCGCTGTCTTCAGTTGACTTTTGAGTCGACTCTAAAGTTCAGCTTGTTTAAGCTGGTGCAAGCGCTGTCTTCAGTTGACTTTTGAGTCGACTCTAAAGTTCAGCTTGTTTAAGCTGGTGCAAGCGCTGTCTTCAGTTGACTTTTGAGTCGACTCTAAAGTTCAGCTTGTTTAAGCTGGTGCAAGCGCTGTCTTCAGTTGACTTTTGAGTCGACTCTAAAGTTCAGCTTGTTTAAGCTGGTGCAAGCGCTGTCTTCAGTTGACTTTTGAGTCGACTCTAAAGTTCAGCTTGTTTAAGCTGGTGCAAGCGTTGTCTTGAGTTGACTTTTGAGTCGACTCTAAAGTTCAGCTTGTTTAAGCTGGTGCAAGCGCTGTCTTCAGTTGACTTTTGAGTCGACTCTAAAGTTCAGCTTGTTTAAGCTGGTGCAAGCGCTGTCTTCAGTTGACTTTTGAGTCGACTCTAAAGTTCAGCTTGTTTAAGTTGGTGCAAGCGCTGTCTTCAGTTGACTTTTGAGTCGACTCTAAAGTTCAGCTTGTTTAAGCTGGTGCAAGCGCTGTCTTCAGTTGACTTTTGAGTCGACTCTAAAGTTCAGCTTGTTTAAGCTGGTGCAAGCGCTGTCTTCAGTTGACTTTTGGGTCGACTCTAAAGTTCAGCTTGTTTAAGCTGGTGCAAGCGCTGACTTCAGTTGACTTTTGAGTCGACTCTAAAGTTCAGCTTGTTTAAGCTGGTGCAAGTGCTGTCTTCAGTTGACTTTTGAGTCGACTCTAAAGTTCAGCTTGTTTAAGCTGGTGCAAGCACTGACTTCAGTTGACTTTTGAGTCGACTCTAAAGTTCAGCTTGTTTAAGCTGGTGCAAGCGCTGTCTTCAGTTGACTTTTGAGTCGACTCTAAAGTTCAGCTTGTTTAAGCTGGTGCAAGCGCTGTCTTCAGTTGACTTTTGAGTCGACTCTAAAGTTCAGCTTGTTTAAGCTGGTGCAAGCGCTGTCTTGAGTTGACTTTTGAGTCGACTCTAAAGTTCAGCTTGTTTAAGCTGGTGCAAGCGCTGTCTTGAGTTGACTTTTGAGTCGACTCTAAAGTTCAGCTTGTTTAAGCTGGTGCAAGCGCTGTCTTGAGTTGACTTTTGAGTCGACTCTAAAGTTCAGCTTGTTTAAGCTGGTGCAAGCGCTGTCTTCAGTTGACTTTTGAGTCGACTCTAAAGTTCAGCTTGTTTAAGCTGGTGCAAGCGCTGTCTTCAGTTGACTTTTGAGTCGACTCTAAAGTTCAGCTTGTTTAAGCTGGTGCAAGCGCTGTCTTCAGTTGACTTTTGAGTCGACTCTAAAGTTCAGCTTGTTTAAGCTGGTGCAAGCGCTGTCTTCAGTTGACTTTTGAGTCGACTCTAAAGTTCAGCTTGTTTAAGCTGGTGCAAGCGCTGTCTTCAGCAAGAGGTGTGACATCGGGTTCAAGCGCTGAAGTTTAGTGGTGTGGTGAGGGAGCATATGGAGGCGAAGAGTCATGCGAAACTGACGTTTCACTGCAGCTTTAGTGTTGGCAGTTCAGCACCAGCAGGGTTCAGTGTTTGGGGCCTAAAACGCCGTGAGGTATGCTGTCTCGGAATAGTTTTTTGAGAAGCCATGCCACTCAATGCCATGCTGACTGTTGGTCGTGCGTGATAAAATGCCAGCTGGCAAGGGGTGCAATCTGGAAGGGCCGGTACATACTGGAAAATGTTGAACGAGCACTGATGCGAGTGAAGAGGGGAAAAGGAATCTCCTGGAAGCTACTTGCACATGGACTGCACGTTTTCCGCGTTGTTTCTTACCATTTCCAATTTCAACCGACCCTTCCCAATATGTACAGCTTCCCTCTCTCCAGTTCTTGCTTTCCTCATTTCAAGCTCCCGCCCCACACTCATTTCAAGAATTTCCAGTCAAATTTTCCCATGCGCTTTCCTCACCTTCCTTGTGTTGCATACTCATTTTTTTCACATTTTCCCCTTTGCCTGGCACTTCCTCACCCTCCACCAGTTACGAGGAGGGCACGAGCCGTGAGCTTATTGTGGCTGACGACACTCGTCCGCATGTGGCCCTGGCCAGTGGGGGAATGGAGCTCATCATTTTCAACGCTGCAGCAGGGAAGGCGGGCAGCAGAGGCGCGGATAAGGGCGCATGCAGCACGAAACGCGTGATTGGCTCGCGGGATCTTGCGAGATATTATCGCCAGAAACCGAAACCGATGGGAGACAGCAACACGCGCCTTGTGGCATCGGTTCTCGCCAGGTGAGTGACTTTTCTATCATTCTTTTGAATTGTGACGATTTTTTAGGCGCCTACAATTTTATCTCCAGCGACTGAAGCCGACGGGAGACAGCAACACTCGCCTCGTGGCGTCGGTGCTCGCCAGGTGGGTGCGATCCCGTTTTCTTTCATTCTTTTTGTTTGCAAAAAGAAAAAACAATCCTGAGGAAGAAAACAATATCCTGGGAAAACAACAGCGCCACCCAGCCCATACATGGCTTATATTGGCATGCATTTGCCCACGGAATCACTGCCCCCTCCTCTCAACCCCATTTCTTCCCCGTACCTACACTTGCAACTGCTGGCCAATTGCAGACCGACAGAAGCTGACAAAAGCCACCTTTCGTGCTCCACGTTCATTGGATTGTACAGTGTCGCCCTCCTCTCCCCCGCCCCTCCCCCTGCCTGCACGTTCATCTCCCTGCAAGTACCGAGCCATGCGACTGGCAGTGCGGCAGCCCTGGGCTGCTTGATGAACCAGGGAGCAAAGCCTTCTGTTTTGCTCCAATCATATGTTCCATCCCCCCCCACCTTTTCCTTTCTCCTTTTTGAGACGTCTCAAACACACTCTCTTCACTTCTGCTCCAATCATATGCTCCATCCGCCCCTTTCTCCTTCTGCAGGTATCGAGCCATGGGGCTGGCAACGCGGCAGCTGGGGTGGCGAACAGCAGAGCAGCAGCAACAGCTGAAGCAGGAATCGTCTCATGTCTTCTATTCTACTTTCCCCCTTCCCGTCTTGCAGATATCGAGCCATGGGGCTGGCAACGCGGCAGCTGGGGTGGCGGACCGCAGAGCAGCAGCAACAGATGAAGCAGAAGGATGCAACGGCAAAGGGTCGGGAGAGGTTCGAGCGCTTCCGCACGAGTGTGGGCATGAACAACAACATTAACTGGAACCTGCCCAAGAACGTGCCGTATTAGACGGTGCACTCACTCGTTTCAACAGTTGCTTGTCACAACAGCAATGGAAGCTGCTGGAGGGTTAGGTGGCATAGCAGCAGTGAGTAGGGTGGTAGAAAACAGTTACTTCATTCAAGCAGCAGAAGCAGCAAAAGGAGTGGGAGGCAACACAGCATCTATGGGTGGCGCAGCAGATGTTTGAGCGCATGCCCACAAGTGTGGGGATGAGCAACAACGTCATCTGGAACCTGTTCAAGAACGTGCTGTTTTTGGTGATGTGACTTGTGATCACCATTGGAAGGATGCGGAGGAGGAGGTATGTAGGAAGTGCTGCAGCAGTGGATGGAGAATCAGAGCGTTAAGGATCGCGTATGTGCCCAGCAGTAGTGAGTGGGCACTAGAACGTGAATTGTCATGATTGTGCAGCTCTTGTTTATCCAGCTTATTTAGTCAATTGGAGCTCTACCATATTTTTTTGTACCTTAATTGATGGTCAGGATAGTCCATGAGCTGTAATGTGTGACTGATCTTTCTGAAAATGCTTACTGGCCCAACACAGCACAGCACCCAACAAAAATTAGTACGATACCATATCTAATCAACCACACCCCTCCAAAACATTCTAGTACACGGTGATTGTGGCTAAAGGGAGCTCGTACTTGGAGTGGCTAATGACCAGAAATTCCGTGACAGTCTGCCACAACAGCATCGTGTGTGACTAGGATAAGGAAAACAATAATATCGCGCTTTTTCTCGATGCCACCACCGGCCTTCCGCATGAGCGCCGTGAGAGTCTTGCTGAACCAATCTCCAAGTGGTTTACTCTTACGAAAAGCTGGATGCATGCCAGTTGTCATGATTGGCGTGATATTCTGATATGGTGTTCCATGAAAGACAAGTTCAGCCCAGGGCCTACCGTATTTTATCAGTGTAAATCACACTGCTATACTGATGAGAAGGGTGAAATTTAGGGCCTACACTGATGTGTTTGGGTTTTTTTTTTTTTAATTAGTGTTACACTGATTTGACAGTGAAACGATTTAGGCCACACTGATGCTCTGGGGTAAATTTTCCCTTAGCAAAGATTACCCTTAAGGGCGTACGGGACACCCCCCCCCTCGAAACTCTACACATCGAGATGAAGTTTCCTCGAAATTTCGTCACGATACACTCAATTTTGTAATGATGTACTACGGCGTCAGCACGTGAGTACTGACAACCGACACCGCGTCACTCCATGCCTGCTTGCAACTGTTAGAATCTTACGGGGAAAAAGTGGGTGTCGACTATCGAGGTGAAAGGTACAAAGGAGCAACCTAAGGGGTTGTACCCCACAGTGAGTACCCCACTAAGCCTAACCAAACTATAACGTATATACACATATGTTTGACACACCCCCATAGGCAAAGTGGGGGAGAACAGAGGGTCACAAGACCAGTCAGGAAGTGCAAAGCAAGCTCAGGGTGGATCACAACGTCACCACGCAGTCTGAGCACAAGCAAGAAAGAGTGGGCACAAGGCCTAACAAAGTGCAGAAATGCTGGTGAATATATCAGCAGTGTTGGCCTACAAAACAAAGCCTACAGCAAGTGAGGAAGCGCCTTGGTGAATATATCAGCAAGTGAGGAAGCGCCTTCGTGAAACCCCAAACAAAGCCTACAGCAAGTGAGGAAGAGTGGGCACAAGGCCTAACAAAGTGCAGAAACGCTGATGATCACCAGCTGGAAGCGCCTTGGTGAATATATCAGCAGTGTTGGCCCGAGTGGCCACGTAGGTAAGACGAAGCTGGCCACGCTGCTGAAGCTCTCGAGCAAGAAAGTAACGGAGAACGATGTGCTTTGTTCTGTGCTCCAGTCTGTGCTCCTGACACAAGGCAACGGCGGCCTTGTTGTCGACGTACAGAACTGGAGGAGAACGAGGCCGCTCTCCCAAGTCGGTCAGCAGGTAGGTGAGCCAGCGCAGCTCCTGTGCAGCCATGGCTGTGGCGTAGATCTCTGCCTCACAGCTGGAGCCGAGAACTGAAGACGAATGTGTAGAACGCCAGGAAACTGAACCAGAACCAAGGCTGAAGGTGTAACCCTGTGACGACCGCTGCGTAGCCTGGTCATCAACCCAAGAGGCGTCCGAGTGACCTGTGAGGACAACGTCACCCCGTCCTCCAAGCACGAGCCCCATGCCCGATGTACTGCACAAGTAGCGTAGTACCCTCTTGGCAGCATCCATGTGCACCTTTCGGTGCCGACCAGGAGCCACGTAGCAAGCCAGAAGGCCAAGAGGGTACGCAAGGTCAGGACGAGTGCAAGTCATCAGCTACATGAGGCAGCCCACTAACTCTGGGTAAGGACCACTCGGCTCTACGGACTCGTCCGAAGGTGGAGCTGAGAGCGAGTGACCTGTAGCCAGAGGAGTGGCCTGTGCTGAGGACCAGGTGAAACCGAAGCGCTAAAGGACCTGCTGCACCATGTGTGACTGAGTCAATGTGATGGTGCGGCGTGCTCTGTCCCGGGTGATCTGCAAGCCAAGGTAACTGCGCAGTTCACCCAGGTCTGTGCACGTGTGTCTCTTCTGCAGCTCCGACTTCACCAGGGCGAGAGCCTCAGTGTCAGCAGTGGCAAAGACCAAGTCGTCGACGTACACGAGAACGTAGAACGGCGGCAGCGAAGTGTTGGTGCGCAAAAACAGCGACGGGTCAGCAGTCGACGGAGCAAACCCAAGAGCTGCAAGTGTCGTCCTCAGTGTGTCGTGCCAGTCACGTGGCGCCTGGCGGAGACCGTAGACCGGCCGCCGGAGGCTCCACTGGGTACCAGGAGGGAACGACCTAGTGAAGCCAGGAGGGCGGCGCAGCCAAATCTCCTCGTGCAGGCTGCCCTGTAAGAAGGCTGTGCTGAAGTCAAGAGAGTGAAGCTCGTAGTCACGCTGAGCGGCAACGTGCAGCAGCACCCGAAGAGTGGTCATCTTCGGGGTGGGGGAGAAGGTCTGGAAGAAGTCAACTCCCTCTCGCTGACTGAAGCCTCGAGCCACGTAACGAGCCTTGAAGACAGGCGGAGAACCTGGCGGCCGCTTCACCCTGAAAATCCACATGCCACTGACAATGTTCGCCCCAGGAGGGGTAACCTCGTCGACGTAGGTGCCTGTGGACTTCCAGGATGCCATCTCTGCGTCCATGGCTGTCTGCCACTGAGAGGAGTACTCACCCGCGATCGCCTCATCGTAAGAGCGCGGGGTAGGGATGTCTGGTGCATCCGGGTCTCCCTCAGGGGCAAGCAGCATGGATACGAGATGAGGCGCAGCCACTGCAAGACACTCAAGGTCCTCCTGCCTGTCCTCAAGGACGTCCGTGCCAAGAGCACACTCACCCCCGACGGACGGAGGACAGACAGACGCAGACTCAGCAACAAGACTGGCGGCGTAGTCTAGACGACAGTGAGCAGCAAAGGCAACAAGCTCAGTGACTAAGGCAGACGCAGCAGCAGACTCAAACGACGGGTCAGTGACAACAGTGGCAAGCAGACGTGTGACAGTAGAGTGCTCAGCACGAAACCGGTCAGACGCAAGGTCAGCAACGACAGGCAGAGAGGACGCAGGGGGAGGCGGCAGAGGAACACGCGGAGAAGGAGAGGAAGGACGACGAACTACAAGGGGAGGGCCGGAGACAGCCGGCTGGCACTGACGAGGAACACGACGACCGGAACTGACAGGGGAGACAGGACGCGACGCAGGCTCACGACGCTCTGCAAGGCCACTAGGCTGCTCTATGTACGGAGAAGGAGCAGGCAGTGGTGAGCCAGGCTGTAACGGAAGACCAGTAGACGAGGGAAGACTGAGAACCTGGCGAAGTGCAGAGTCAGGTGGTGGCTGAGACGACGGAGACGGCGGAGCAAAGAACAGGCGCGGCTGAGCAGTGCCACCAGCACGAGTAGCACCAGCCCCTCCAGCAGCGCCAGTACCTCCAGCAGCTCCAGCACCTCCAGCAGCTCCAGCACCTCTAGCACCTCCAGCACCTCCAGCACCTCCAGCAGCTCCACCACCAGCCCCAGCAGCTCCAGCACTCTCAGTACGAGCACCTCCGGGACCAACGACACCAGCAGAAGAACCTCCAGCAGGAGAGCCCTGAGGTGCAGAAGTGGGACGCTGACGACGACCGTACCAGTCGTGTAGCTGCTGGGAGGTGAGGGGCACACGCGGACGAAGACGGCTACTCCAAGGAGACCGCGTAACAGCAGTCTCAGAACCCTCAGGCGACTCATCCCCACACTCAGTACCCCCAGGCTCCGCACACACAGGCCCAGCACCCCCAGACGCAGCACCTCCAGACGTAGTACCACGAGACGCAGCACCTCCAGGCTCCTCACGTGCAGGCTCAGCACCTCCAGGCTCCACACGCTCAGCACCCCCAGACTCAGCACCCCCAAGCTCCGCACCCCCAAGCTCCGCACCCCCAGGGACAGCACCACTCGCAGCAGGACCGGAGTCACCAGTGACCTCAACAGGCGCAGGCACAGGGGGGTCTACCTGAGAGACACCTGAAGGAGCAGGACCTGGCGCGAGGAGGGGGTCTACCTGGGGAGGACCTGGGGCGAGAAAGAGCGGCGGGGGGGGGCGAGGAGCAGTGCGGTAAGGGAAGAGGCGGTAAAAGGGGACCGACTCGTCAAAGGTGACGTCCTGAGACGCAAAGACACGGCGCGAGGCGGGGTCGTAAAACTGCCAGCCAGGCGCGTCAGGGACAAAGCCAAGGAAGACGCAAGGAATGGCGCGAGGGGAGAGCTTGTCCTTGAGGGAGACCCGGATGCACCAGACATCCCTACCGCGCTCTTACGCTGAGGCGATCGCGGGTGAGTACTCCTCTCAGTGGCAGACAGCCATGGACGCAGAGATGAGGCGCAGCGGCTGCAAGACACTCAAGGTCCTCCTGCCTGTCCTCAAGGACGTCCGTGCCAAGAGCACACTCACCCCCGACGGACGGAGGACAGACAGACGCAGACTCAGCAAC